GTGAGGTCTGTCTGTTCACTCCCCAGCTGTGGGACGCTGAGGTGGTCCCCACCTTTTGATGGCCGTGTAGCGTTCCTTGGCCTTTGGTGAGCGAGGTTTTGTTTGACTGCCGGTCTCTGTCCTTTGGGCATACACCCAGAAGTGGAATTACTGATCATTTGGTGATTCCAAATCTAAAGTTTTGAGGAACTGCCAACTTCTCCACAGTGGCTGCTGCGTTTTATGTTCCCACCACAGTGTGTGCACGTGGGGTCGGGGCTCCCAGTTTTCCACCTCCTCACCAACACTTGCCGTATTTACGTCCTGTCTGACCAGTGAGGGTGTTACACCTTGCGTGGGTGGGACAGAGGCGGCTTACGGTGAGCAGGCAGGGCCGTGTTGCCCCCGGTTTCCAGATGAGGGAGCAGACGTTCGAGATCGGTTCAGTCGCTTGCCCCAGGCCACACACCTAGATTCAGACCACCGTCCGTCCAAACCCCCAGACCAGTCCACCGCCTTTCCCATGGCCGTGGCACAAGGAGGGGGTGTGAGGAGGCCCTGGGAGGTGGGGGCGGCCAGGCGCCTGCCCACCACCTCTGATTGGCCAGTGAGACCCGCCTGGTGGAGGTGCTGGAGACGGTGTGCAGCAAGTCGGACTTCGAGTGCCACCGCCTGCTGGAGCTGAGCGAGGAGCTGCTGGAGAGCTGGTGGTTTCACGGGTGAGCGGTGTGGCCAGGCGGGCGGGCCACTTTCCGGGGGGGGCCTCCAACCCAGAGCCCCTCGGACCTGCGGGGTCCCGAGCACTCGCCCCAGCTCTGGGTGCCCCTCTACCCCGAGGGGGACGGCCAGGGGCTTTGGTGGGTCTCAGGCCCAGGAGCGTGATTCTGCGCGGGGTGGGGGGGTGGGGGGCGGGGGCCTGCGCCCGCCACCGGTCTGAGGTCCCCGCCCCCGCAGGCAGCAGGCCGCCCCGGACCTCTCCCAGTGGCTCTGCTCAGACTCCCTGAAGCTCTGCTGCCCCGCAGGCACCTTCGGGCCCTCCTGCTTACGTGAGTGCCTCGAGCTCGCTGGGTGGGAGGGCGGCCGAGGCCGGGGTCCGCTCCCGGCCCTGCCCGGTGACTTCAGCCACAGAGCTGCTGTGTCCCTGTGCTCGTCACGCCAGCCCGGCCCTTGAACGAGGTCCCTAGGGAGGGGCTGGTGCCGCCCCAAAGCCCCGGCGGTCGCCCCCTTTAAGAAAAATCTCCCTGGAAGCTGCAGATAGAGCCTGCAACACAATGATCCCTTCAGCCTTTAGAAAAGGCTGGTAATTAATCTGGTTCTTGCACAATCTAAAAGTTGCACAATAGGGTATCGGTTAAATAAATACAATTTTATGACAAAATATTTGTGTTGCCGTGAAATTAAAGTTTCCTCCGTAAAATGTCCAGTGACCTGGGGGAAAATACTCTGTGTATCCAGGACTGTTTCTCTCAGCGCCCTGGTTCGGTGTCTGCCCACAGCCTGTCCGGGGGGCGCAGAGAAGCCTTGCGGCGGCTACGGGCGGTGTGAAGGGGACGGGACTCGAGGGGGCAGCGGGCGCTGCGTCTGCCAGGCCGGCTACGGGGGTGAAGCCTGTGGCCAGTGCGGCCTCGGCTACTTCGAGGCGGAGCGCAACGCCAGCCACCTGGTATGTTCGGGTAGGTAGCGGGCAGGTGCGGCGTGGGGCAGGGCCAGGTGGGGCCCTGCCTGCCCATCCTCACCCTGCCCGCCTTCTGCCAGCTTGCTTCGGCCCCTGCGCCCGCTGCTCAGGACCCGAGGAGTCACACTGTTCTCAGTGCAAGAAGGGCTGGGCGCTGCATCACCTCAAGTGTGTGGGTGAGTGGGCCCGGCCCGCGCCTGGGGGGAGGGCAGGGCTGGGCTGGGCTGGGCCTCTCCTCAGCACGCTTCTCCTGGGGCCAGAACGCCAGTCTCCACCTTGGAGACTCCGCCCGGAGGGACTGGCGCTCACTGACCTGTGTAGTGAGGGCCTGGTCTGCTCGGAGCTGGTGAGCCGTCAGGAGGGGCTTCTTGGCGGCGGAGTCACTTAGGCAGCCCGGACTGAAGCGCGGGCCAGGGGAGGAGGACACTGAACTGGGACAGGAGACCCGGTTGGAAACTTGGCTTGGTCTCTGCCCTGCCGCTTCTCCAGATGCCACAAAAAGACCCCCGGCAACAGCGTCCCCGAGAACAGAGAGGCGTATTTTTGTCAGACCAGCCTGGAAGCGAGTGGCCAGGCCGGCAGGGCGGTCCTGCGCGCGAGGCGCTCTGAAGCCCACGTTCCGCAGTCTGACTGCGGCCCCCCCTTGGCCTGTCCTTGTGGTTGAGGCCGGGTCGCCGACATCGTGTTGGGACCCGACGGCGGGAGCGAGGGGGATGAGCGTGCGCGCGGCTCCCAGCTCAGCTCGTCTGGAGGCCCAGCTCAGGGCAGACCTCACCCTGCCGGCCAGGATGCCGCCAGGGCCTGCCGGTGGCTGAGTGGCCGCGCCGCTACGTGGCTGGTGGGTCACCTGCGGTCTCAGCCACGCTGCTGGCGCCCAGACCGGTCCGTCACCCACAGCCTGGCCTCGGCGGCTGTGAGTGAGCTTGGGGTTGAAGTCCCCACCCTGTCGGTCCCGCAGACATCGACGAGTGTGGCACCGAGCGAGCCAGCTGTGGAGCCGACCAGTTCTGTGTGAACACGGAGGGCTCCTATGAGTGCCGCGGTGAGTGTCCACTCCGGGG